TTCTCTTCTTGATCATCACCAAGGTTGAGAGCAGAGTGGCTACACCTGTCCAATCTGATGGTTAGGCTGGTCCAAAGAAGAGTTCCTCCACGTTCTTCAACCTTCCTCAAGGCTCTTCTTCTTTTACTGCCAAATTTCTTGAAAGAAGAGTCCACACTTGCTGTCTCAATAGCTTCTCTGCCTTGCATCTGACTGACTGAGTGGCTGACTGAGGAGAGGTCACAGTGTGTTTGACTGCTGAAGCAGCAGGCCTTTTCTTGTTTTCCCACACTATTTGTCAGTGTAAAGTGTTCTAAGCTGATGGTTTCTCTTTCCTTTTTTTCTACTTTCTTCCTTGGACTCCAGTTAAATGACCCCTCCAGGTTACCTCTACCCTCACAGCTGCTTTTCTGTGCCTAAGCTGAATGTATCGCTCATTAGTGCCTAAGCTCAATGTATTGCTCATGGTTCTAACCTGAGCTTTGTTCCCTAATCTCTATCTTCTGTGTTGGAGATTTGACCCACTCCTGGGGTTTCCATGATGACGACTCTTCCACAGACTCCCAGAGTCATCTCAGGGGATCTCATGTGCAGTCCTCAATGACCACATTTCAACACGTTCAAGGGTGTCACCTCTACGTTGGTCCTTTCCTCTCTATGCGGCTTCTTTGGACAAATACATCAAGACGGTGGGGTCATGCACCTAGGTTGGAATCCTAGTTGTACACTTTTCCGTGTGGCCTTTGAAACAAAGTCCTTTTTTCTCATGTTCTGTGAATGCTGCCAATGCTCTTTATACAATAAGCACTTGTCAAATGCTGGTCTCCTTCCCTATTTCTTATTAGCATGAACCTTTCCCCTCTACAGTGGGCTTGGAATCATCTGGTTTTTCATTGTAATAATGTACTTTCTCCTCCCTTATACTTCCCCAAGCCCATTTATCTGGAAACACCTCACATGTTGGTCCTCTCCTTTCAATATTGAGGGGAGTCATCTGGGCCCATGCAACCAGTCTCTCTGCCTTTAGGCTCTGCCCACCCAATCCTCCCTGCCTGCCACTACTGCCTGAAGCATGTTTCAGATCATATTCCCACCCAAAATGCTCCAGTGCCCCCAATCTCAGTTCCACACCTTTACTTTCAAGGTTTTTAATGATCTGCCTCAAACCTAGTTTTCTGCCAAACTTAGGCTGGCTCAATCACATGGCATGCTGGGACCTCAGTGACAGAATCCAAGGGGGCTGGGTAACCAGGGTAGCCAATATCTATCCAAAAGCCTCCGATCTGGAGGTTGGGGCAATGGTCTAGGGCCCTAATGATGCTCAAAGAGAAATGGGGCTTCACCTGTACCTAGGAGCTGGGCTCTGGTCCTCAGGACAAAGATCCTAGGCAGGAGGATCAATGACTGGTCCCCTGCCAAGCTGCTTAAAAGCCAGGGCAGCACTACAGGACCAGTTGGAAGTCCAGTCTTGAGAAATAGAAGCAAAATCTCAACCTCTATGTATAGAGCAACTTGAAGGTGAGGAAGAAGGCAATGCAGTGGTCCTGGGCTTCTAGGTTAATGCTCAGGGTGGCCCCTCAACTGTTCATCTTTATCTTCCCTGGCTTTAGGCATGTACCTGCTTAATTAGTTTGACACACCTCCCTATGCTTACCCCTTTCCATGGAAAGTGCCAGGTCCTCTGAAAGCTCCTTATATAACCTGGCCAGTGAAATTTTCACAGCCAAGACAGAAAACAGGTGTAAATCTCCATCTTAGGCATTGAACAGGATATGTAGTGAGTTCATGGAAAACCCTTTTCACTCTTCTGAAGACTTAGGAATAAGAAAGGGCTCTTATCATTAACATTTTGTCAGGAGGTATTCTTTCTCCACTTTAAAGAACCAAAACTTTCTCCAGTTCAGAAACAGTAAATGAATGGTCTACTATGTGCTGAGAACTTTGCTGTTCACCTCCATGGTCTGCTCTTAGCAGCATCTGTGCAAGCACCCCGTGGATGCTATCCTGGGTTTCTTCTTTTTATTATTAATAGCTAACATTTACTAAGTGCTTACTATATGCCAGGCACTATGCAAAGGGAGACAGGATGCCTCTTTCCCAGGTAGTTCCTGGGAAACTGAACAGAACCTTAAACAGAAACTCTGAGGAATTAGGGGAGTGTGGGCTCATGGGGGCTGCAATCCCAGAGGAGACCACACTCAAAAGATGGTTTTGCAACTCAGCCTCCTTTCAGGCCTGCTATATCACTTCCACTCACTCAGTAGTAGGCCTGGCATTTAGTGGGGGACAGGGTCATGATGGGAGGTTGGGGCACTATTCAGGCTTGGCCTTCACCAGCCTCTGCTGGGCCTGGTTCCATGAATGTAGTGTAGGATGCTGGGGAGCTGGAAGAAGACTCTTCCCCAGCCCCTCCCACTCTATCCCAGACCTCTCTCATCTTCCCACCTTTCGAGCTTAAATATTAAAAATTCCCTCCACAGGGTGAGCTTTCAGTCCTTGATTCACTCCAAAGAGGCTTCAAATGCAAATAGTTCCAGAGAAGGTAACAGAGTTGCCTCCCAGTACAAGAAGAGATGAATGACTTGAAAAAAGTCTTTGGCAAGGGGCAGGGAGAGGATGGCCAGGAATCCTGGCTGGCTGGAGAGTGGGGAGAGAAGAGGGCACAGTGAGAAGCTGAAGGCAAACACCTGTCATTGTAGCATTGCTGAAGGCCCAAAAGAACCCAGCCAACATGAGACAGGTTGGTTTAAAAGCCTCCTATGGGAAGGAACCCAGACTGATGACAAGCAGAGCCAAGTTCACGTGCCTGTGGATGAGAGTGTGGCTCTGGGAATGTGAAGCCTGCAGCAGGAGTCAGGGGCAGGGGCTCTGGGAGAGCTGCTCCATGACCAGAATTGTGCTGGGAATGGCATAAGCAGTGGCCCAGTCAGCTTGCTTATTCCAGGCCCCTCTTCCCAAATTTATGATTTGAAAAGGAATTCTTTTAAGATGTCTTTGGAATCTTGTACATAGTCTAACAAGGCATTTGAAATGTAAAGATTTGTATATTAGGAAAGCATGAGGTAAATGACCTTCATTGAAAAGCAAATAACAGTACCACAGGGAGTAGGATTGTCTCAGACAATTCAGCATGTCTGCCTGTTGAGGACCTGTACTCCACCACCCTGTCCTTCCACAAAGAATGCAACTAACCAAAAACCCTAGATCTGTAGCAATGACCTCGTTTGAGAACAACCCCACCCCCTGCACTTAGTTCACCTTCATTTCTCTTGGCATTTCAAGAAGGAGGTCAGAATGCAGTTGTGTGCGGGGAGGTCACTGCCACATTACAGATCTCTTGCTCATGCTGAAGGTTGGCAAGATAGGCTGGGAGACAGCAGAGTTCCATCATCAGCGGTGGGCTAGATGCTAGAGGTGGGGCCGGCTGGGAGGGTGAAGGGCACAGAGATCCCCCGTGCAATTTTGTAATGGACAGTAGGATATGGGGGAAGGGCATCTCACCAGAGGAGCAAGGCAGAGCCCAGATCGGGACTGTCATGCCTGAGGACAGTCTGCGTTTAACAAGGAGCAGGCTGTGGGGCCAGGAGGTCAGATCCAGGCTCTGATTTTCCGGAAGAAGCAAGGATGGGAGAGTGAGTGGCGACAAGAATAAAGGAGGAGGTTAAGCAGACAATTCCTCTGTAGTGGGCCACAGGAGCATGCCAAAGGGTGAGAGGATGGAGCTGGACCAGACTGCTTATCTGAAATGAGGAAGCTCCATTAGATGAACCAGGAACGCGGTGGTGAACCCTGTGGTGCAAGACTCCAGGTTTCAGCAACCCCCGAAGGGTGTGGGATGGTGGAGAAGCTGTGACTCAAGTAGCAGCTGTGGAACACTAGTGGCCAGCCCCAGGGGTGGACCTTGGGGGGCGGGCAGGGCGTTGGTGCCACAGTTTGTCAGTGGGCAGAGCAGTGGCAGCTTGAACAAGAATTCCTGTCTCCAGATTGGGCTGGGAGTGTGGCAGGATTGAGCACACAGATAACTCAGCTGTCAGGACCTGAGGAGGGCCAGGGAAGGTAGGGGCTGGGGACAGGAGGCAAAAGGTAAGCAGTTTCATTCATTCAAAAATCACTGCACAACTGCGGAGAGCTACCAACACCATCAGGCCAGGGATAGGAAGATGAGTAAGACATGGTCCTTAGTCTTGAGAGGTTCGTGATTGCTGTAGGAGAGCTAGACTGGGGAAAACAGAGAATCCGTGCCTTAAGACACTTAGTCAAACTTACGGCGCTTTGAAAGCAATACACAAAAGCAGCTCTCTGTTATTCATGTTTTACTCCTATAGTACTCTTTAGCTTACACAACAAATTTATCCATCCATGGATGAATATCTATCCATGGATGGATATCTTTATATCCATAGTACTCTTTAGCTTACACATAACAAATTTATCCATCCATGGATGGATATCCATCCACTGAGGCACTGGACTTTTGAACATTCCATCTTCAACTCACCTCTAAGACTTTAGTTGCCAATAAAATTGGCTGGCAACCTGGGACTGCTTTGGGTCAGGCACCAAGGAGATGGTGCTTCTGTTTCATTTTATAGTGTTAGCCCCAGACCATTGAAGAAAACCAAGAGTCAGTTTAATAATTACTTTAGGGGTCTTAAGTGAACAGCTAGTTGGAGGGCATCAGGGAAGGTGAGGCCATTTGAGGGTAATAGGATGGAGACCTGGCCAGGGCAGTGAGGGGGAAAGGTGTTTGGGCCTAGGAGACAAAGACTGTGTAAGAGGGGCTGCTTTCTGCACAGCAGTGATACCGATGTCTGAGCTGTGGCTCTCGAAGAGTGCTGACGAGGGCCACACAGCTTCAAAGAAGTGGCACTTGTAGTGCCACTTCAAGTTCAAGTGGGCTTTCTCTTCTGGCCAATTCCAAACAGACCTGCCTGATTTGCCAGAGAACACTGGTATCCAGGTTCGCATTGCGTTAGCAATGCCTGTGGGAGACAATAGGGTGAACCCCCAAGCAATTTTTGTTTAGCCTTCTTCTTTCTTGGCTGAGGAGCCTCGGTTATTTTTTCTGAAAGGATATATCCTCCATTATTTTGATTGGGTGTGTCCAGAGGTGCTGGGAAGAACAAGATAGGCAAGAAGGGAATAACTAATGAATTTTCTTGCTCATTCCTAAAGTCCTATATTTAGATTAGAATTTTAAATCTTGAACTCATCACTGTGTGCACTGCTTGTCATTGGATAAGTCATGTGCAGGTGGGACACTTGCTGGTGGCTCTAGTCTTGCTGACTCTGCCCTCTATTGATCCCACCTACCTCACAGATGAACGTGTTGGGTAGGTTCAGCCAAAAGCTCTTCATTTTAGAATCAGCCTTGGCAAGACTAGAGTGACCTCCTGTCCCCTCTAGAGGCCATCTAGAGGCATATTCTGAATCTGCCGAGGCTTACTTCTCTCAAGACCTCCTGGGTCAGGGGTCAACTTCTCACCTGTACGTCAGCCAGTGTATCCTCCTATAAATGAGTCCCTGCCTTTTCTTTCCTTCTGGGTGATTTTCATCAGATTGCCTTGCTGCACAGGTACAAAGCAACAGGTCTGCAGAATGAAAACAGCTGGGAAACCCTGAATGGTGTGGAAGTAGGATGGAGGAAGCGGTGGTATCTTCTTAAGGAGGTACTCATGGTGAGAAAGTCTTTGTTTTTCTTGGGGGGGATTCCCTTTTTGCTGTCCAAGGAGACTTCCCTTACGCCATGGGCTTTGGCCGTGCTTAGTAGTCAGGGCACACTTGACTTTGAAATGCAACGTGCTAAGTGGAATATGCACTTTGTTCCCTACTGGCCGGCTGGTACCACTCTGTGGGTCAGATAGGAATCAACCTTCCAGGGAAAAGAACGAAAAACAGACAAACAAGTACCTGAAGACAGAAGTTTAACTGAGTGCTTCCTGGCCTTTGTTTTAGCCCACCTCATCTAAAGATGTCCCAGATTTGAGCTATGGTGTGTAGAGGGGTAGAAGAGAGAAAATGTATGTGCAAATGAGAGGTGTTGGGCGGGCCATACAGGTAGAAAGAGGAGAGGTGGATTGCACAGGTCAGGAAAGGGGAGAATAGAGACTAGCTTGATTTATAAGCAAGAATTTGGCACATTTTAATTATTATACTTTTCTAAAACACCACGGTTGGCATATAATTGTGTTGCAATTTAGTAATTATCCCCAATTTTTTATCTTGTGGATTAGAAGATGTTAGAAGTTGGTGACTTGCTGTGGAATTTGTTCAGTGTGAATACTAAGGTCTGCACTCATGGGGCCACAGTGCCTTGTAAGTTCAAGAGGACATTTGGCCTGTTTTCTTTCACGTTTCCCCTACCATATCACATTCACTCCTGTTTCCCATCCCCTGTCTCTTCTCATTCAGTCAACTACTTATAGATGAGCATAATTAATACCTGAGCATTGACAGGCAGCAACCAGAGGTAAATTACCAGCTCTGAAGAGGGTCAACCAGAGCCAAGCAATCTATAGGGAGAATACCATGGTTCTTTCTCCAAGAAAAGCAGTGAAACTGGAGTGTGTCAGGATGCTTATTAGGCTCTGATCTTTTGTTGCATTGATTATCATACCAACGGCAGCCCCAGGAGCTTCCCAACTTGAATGTATAAGCTAAGAAGATGAGTTGGGTATTTGTGATTGTTTTGGAGGCCAGGGGCGGTTGGGGCACTCTTCACTGTGGTCTTCAACATGTCAGAGAGTGTCTCGGAGGTCTTTCTGGAAAGGTTGCTGTAGCTCCCTGAGGCAGGGTGGCTGCTAGGGTGTTGGCGTGACCAGAACTCTGGGGATTTGGGTGAGAAGGGTAGTCAGGTTTTCTCTGGCAGGGGTAAGAAAGGAGAACAAGGGAGAGAAGAGGTGTCCCAACAGGAGAGAGGGGTAGAGCTGTCATAGATGACTTCTCCCGGAGAGTTGCATCAGGCCCACTGTGGGTGAGAGGGGGAATCTTTCCCAAGAATCCAAGTGGTACAATGGGTCTGACCTTCCCTTTAGGTGGTTATTGGAGAACTGATGGGTGTGCATGTGGAGACACGGAAGCCTGACAAAGCCGGTGCAGTCTGGATGGGGGCAAGTAAGGTGGTTAGAGGTCTTTCTATGGAGTGAGACTGTGGTGACTGGTGCCAAAAAGAGAAAATGAAGTGTCATGTCTTAGGAGCTCCATCTGCAAGGATGATGTGAGGCTGGAAAAGGGTGAAATCAGCGAGGGCAGCCATCGCTACGTGTCTTGAGGTTTGCTCCTCCTTGACTCCAGCATCTCTGTCTCAGCTCATCTCATTCTAGAGGTCCCCGCGGACTGTGACAAAGATTTTTCAGAATTCAGAGAGGCAACCAACAAGGGGCAAGCTTGGTTGCAGTACCTCTGACCAGCCTACTAGCTGTCCCCTGGAAGGCTGATTCTCGCGCCCCTCACCACCTGCCTCCCAAGGCTGCCCTAGGGCTCAGCTGAAGGAGGCGGTTGTGCTTTGCTGCCCCCTGCTGCTCAAGTCCTGCTCTTCCATAGGAGCTGCTGGGCTGAATGTCTGGATGTGACTTCTCCAGGCAAATCCTCCTCTCCTGCTTGCAGTGCTCTAGCTCTTCAGAGTAGGTTTCTGTCCAGCACATGGCCCCCAAAAGGGCTTGGAAAACGCTCCCTTGCGTGATACTGGCCGAGCTTGGTATAAGTGTCTTACACACTTATATTCAGCAAGTATAGTATAAGCTATGCTTGCTGCCCTAGGAATCTCCAGAGAGTGCCCCAAACATCTGGCATAGCCTCTATTCTTACCTAGTCATGTTTCTTTTCAGGCCATTTGGCCTCTTCTAGGAACAGTTTCCTGGAGAAATAGAGTTATGGTCACTACACTGGAGTCTTCCTGGAATAGGACCGGGTCCTTCCTAAGGTAGAAGGAGCTGTATAGTGAGGGGGCTGTGTGAGTATTCCTAAAAACGGTGTCTGCTGAATTTTCTACTGGGAGAGGCCAAGTCCTGGGGGAGTAAGCAGCAGTTGGGCAGTAGGCAATAGACAGCACCAGGGTCTGTGGATGCTCTGTTGGGGTGGCATCAGGGGACAGTGGCTTCCCCAGTAAGAGGTGCTGCAGTGGCAATCACTTCCACAGAGGATGCCCCGGAGCTTGTTGTCTCTCACTGTCTTGTCTCCTCGGTCAGGAGGCAGGCGCCTGCTGTTCTGGCTTCCCATTCCTGAGACTGGAAGATGGAGCTTGTGTGGACTGGGCAGCTTTCTAGAAGTGGTGGGTTAGGATGTGGGAGCGCTGTGGTCCAGGCATCTGTGGACAGGTGGCCTGCCACACTGCAAGCCCCAAAATGACGCTGGACTGAGTTTCTTGATGCAGTTACATCTGTACCAATTTTTTTTCTCCAAGCTTCAAGGTGGAACATTTGTAAGCCGAGCCCTCATGGGTCCAAGCCTGTTTTCTTCTCCACAGCACAGTGAGTGAGGGCAAGGGCTCATCACAGATCCCGGCCTCTCCCCACTTCCACCCAGGCAGATGAGAACCTGGAGCCTGCAAAGGACTAGTAGCCAGAATGGTGCCCGAGTCACCTCCTGATAGGAAGGAAGTGGCCAAAAGGAGGGGTAGGACCTCATGTCGTAGAGGTCAAAGCTAAGAGTCCAAGGCAAGTGGCCTCAAGGCAGAAAGAGTCAAACCAGAGCCCCCAAAAATGGAGAGGTCCGGATGGTTAGCTAAGAAGGGCAGGCTTTTAGTTTTATATCTAGGACCAAAGTACAAATGTGAGCAGAGCGGGCTCTTAAGCAGGGAGCCAGTCACATGGGGTTTAGGATGGAGTAACAGTTCAACCCCCTTAGACCTATCCCTTCTCTCTCTCTTTCTCCTTTGACTTTGAAATTAGCAAAAACATTTAATCACATTCTAAATTAAAAAGCCCTGTGCAAATACTTGGAATTGGGAAAAGGGAAGAATATGATAGTTTCTGCCCTCAAGGAACATGAAGCCAAGTTCACAGCCTTCTCTTCTCCCTCTCATTCCTTCACCTAGCATGTCCTCAGCACCAGCTGTGTACCCAGGCATTATTATTTCTCTTGCCTTTTCCACCGCTAATTCCTTCCTAGCCTTTCCTTTCTGCTTCCATTTCTAGCCCAAAATATAAGCCACAAAGAGAAATTTGGGGAATTAGAAGTAAGAGACTTTAAGAGAAAATGTGGATGTCATTGGTGTCTTCATCAATTTTGACTCATAGCTTGGGTTGGGGGAAGTCAGTGTTTCCTTTCCTCTTGCTGAGGAAATTTCTTCTGAGCCTTAGCTACATCCCACTTACACAGGGCATCATTCTTCACTTTTTTCCTGGTATATGTCTCTACTTCAAATTCAGGCTGGTTGTGGGTCTTCCACCTACTCTGTAGCCGGGGGTGTGGCGGTAGATGCCAATCTGACAGTGACCAGCACTACAAAGTGGAATGAGAACCTTCTCATCCTCCTGCTGGGCTCCCACCCTAGCCCCCAGGTCTCACCTTGCCCTCTCCTATGCAGTGGGTTCATTCCAGGATGCCTTCTGAATCAGGCTGGGGGCCTGAAGGCTTCTAGAATGGCAAGCACTTTGGAGGCTAGGCAGGGCGTGCATCTTTAAGACACTAGGTACTCTTTCTACTTCTCATTTTGATTTTAATCCAAGTCGTTGGTCTCTTATTTGCTTGCTTTTCACCCAGGACAGAGTCACAGAGACCTTGGAGAATGGGGGAGGCAGAAGAAGGAGAAATGCAGAAGGAGGTGTGTTATGGTGTTATCCAGTGGAGGGTCGCATCCAGCTTTATTTTGCCCCAAAAGATCTTGCATCCTACCTGTTAAGAAGCTTGGAATGCCACTATTCCCTTAAATCTTAAAGGAACTTGAGTCCTTCGTTTAAAAATATATTCCTAAAATGTAAATGTCCCTATGTGGGACAGTATTTAGCTGACAGTAAATTTGAGGGGAGGGTCTCAAGGGGTGGTAACACCAGGAAAAGAGAAAGGCGCCTCCCCCCAAGCCAAATCTTACCTTACTTAACTGATTGTATTTTCCCTCTCAGCTAATGCTATATCTCAGTACAGGAGAGAAAATAAAAGGTAGAGAGATTTTTATCCAAGCACCCCTGTAAGCCCCGGGTATACACAACTGAACCTGATGCAGTGACAATCGTGTTCACACATAAAAACATCTGGCTGGAGGCTAACATCACTTCAGATTTCCAACTTACATTTTCCTAAGCATAGCATTTTTCTCTTAATTTTCCTTAGGAAAAGACTATAAAGTAGCTCCACAATTGTCATGTCTTCATACTCAAGCCTGCACTCAAGTTTCCCTGGGACAGCTATCTGTGTGTGTGTCTGTGTAAATCTGTATTTACAGCGTCTGTCTAGGACCCCCCATGAGGAGCCGAAGTTTCAGAGAGCCCAGCGAGGATGTACCTCCACGGAAGGGAGGCATGGCATTACTCTGTTCATGGGAGCGTACACACAGATCTTTTCTCCTCCTCATGGTCAGCTTTCTATTTGTGATTAGTAATTGGCTTCTCTTGGTACGCTACGATCTATTACAAAAGCGAAACATTCAGAGGGCGAGCTGAAATGACAAAATTTGGTTATAATTTATGTTGGCCCCTGACATATATATTTTTTTAATGGTTTGGTCTCCAAGCAACTGATCTCTTAGCAACAAGAAGCACCTTTATAAAAGATGGCACACAAAGAGTGATTGCCAGAAAAGCCACCGGTTCCTAAACGGCCGCGCATCATTAGCAAAACTCACCATCTTCAGGAGTCCAAAAACTAGAAGTGACCAGCAGACCCAGGTAACCTTGATATTTGCACATTTTCCTGGAGAAAAAAAAAAAAAAACTCATGCAACTTTTGAAAAGAACAAAATTCTTTGAAATATGTTCATTTTTGAGGTCTTACTAGTTGGTCTTGGCTAACTTTTAATAATAGCATGTATTCTTTTAAATAACTGCTTGCTGATTTTTTAAAAAAAAAAAACCATGATTTTTGTGATCAGAAAACAGTTCACTTGAAGTATTTCATTGGCATGAGAAGGGAAGGAGGGGAACAATCTACTATTTGTTTCAGCGTTTATTTCTGTAGGTTTTCATTTGATGGGAAAAAAATCCACATTGTGGCAAAAATAAGAGCATACAGAATGTCACCCAAATGGTGTGCACTATTAGGGAAATACGTGTATTTATTTTCTACTGTATTTTAAAACTGCTTAAATATTTAAAGAGTAGCAAAATAATTTTACTTTCAAACCTTAGCTTTTTAATCCAATGTCAATTTCAGTAGCAAGTGATAGTCTTTTGCTGCAAGTGTTCAAGTACTGGTTTTTTCATTTGCTTTAATTGCCGTAAGAAAAGATTCATTCCAAAACTAAAAATAGAAAAAATTATAGGCATCTGTACCTTGTTTGCTTTTTTCAGGTACTCAGAAATTAACAATTTAAATGTCTTTCCAGAAAATTGGAATTAGAAATGAGAAACAATTGTTATTTTATCTATACTCCTTCAATTAAGCACAAGCTTAATTATAAACCTACTTGGGGTGCTCAAAGGGCATAAAAATGAGATGTTTTATGGGGGGTGAAATAAAAATCCTCCTAATTGAGCTTGGAAACAATGTTACATAGAGATACTGCAGATCTAAGAAAACAGATTAGAAAATTTTATTTTCAATAAAGACAAGTTGAGATAGTGACACATCGTTTCATTTTTTATAAGAACTACTTTTACCACTTTCTCTCTTTGTCTCTCTTTCTTCTTTCTCTTTTTCTTTTTTTTTTTTTTTTTTTTTTTGTGCCCTTTCTGAGGTGCAAATGCCTCTTTAAATTGAACTGTTATGCAGACATCTTCTTGGAACCAAAAAATGGGTAGCTTTGTCTGAATACAGAGCTTGGTAATGGGTCAGGGCATTCAAAACCAACACAATCCCAGAAATTTTGGGATTTACAGTTGCTACTCTAAGCAAAGTCACTTCAACAGCACAATATGATTACATTTGATTTAAAGCTGCTTATGACCTTTATTTCTGTTACTACTACGAACTTCAGGCAGAAGAATTCATTTTTGTGATGTCTTTGCTTGGAAGTTAGAAAGTTGGGTGTTTTGGGTTGAACTATAGAAATGCTTTTAAAGCAATGCACTATGAAATCACAGAGAAGCATATAGTCTTGTCCTTCAGAACTAAAATTTTATGTACTTGCAGTGTGGTAATTATTGTAGAAATGGTTTGTGGCTTTAAAGTTAAGAAACTTGCATAAATAATTGTAAGATGTAATTTGTGTTGGCTGTGTCTGGATATGTTTTCAGTTTTAATGGTACTGTAGTCTCCTAAAATATGAAGGGTTTTAAAATGAAAGCGAAGGTATGATAACATTTATATTGCAAGTGGCAGATAAGTTTTTGCAGTGGTTCTTAAAATCTAGTCACTGTGTCCTTTGAGGTTCATGTGTTCTGAGTTTTATCTGTACCTGAGGAAACAAGGGGGGTCAATGGGACTGTAGAGCTTATCATTTTGGCTGGCTGAATGAGCCATCTACAAAGATGGAAAAACACCTGCAAGACGGGAGATACACTATGAAATACTCTGATTAGACTGGCTGCTGTAGACTGAGCCAAATCATTCTGCTGTGTTGGGATTAGTTACTTCTGAGACACACACGCACACATTCACATATGTGTGCGTGCATATGACTGGTCTCAATATAAATGAGGAAATCAAAACAAGCCTCTCTATCAGTGAGAGCTTCCCAGGAAAAAGGATAGTTTTAATCTTGTGAATGATAGTTTCCAACACAATCTTTATTCAGTGTCTAAAAGTCCTAGACAAACTAGATGGCTCTTTTCCTTCAAACCTGAGGCTGGAAACTGGTGTGGGGTGGGCCGGGGGGATGTATTAGCTGTCAGGCACACTGTAAGCAGTCCTGCTATGGGGGTGATCCATGTTGCAAATGAATCTATTTATTCTGGACACCTTACTGTCTGAATGGAAACAATCAGGCAGAAACTTGTTCAATTACTACATGATTGGCCTTTTGGAAGATTTTTAAAAAGCTCTTATAAATGATCCATGCTTCAGATAATTTAGTCTTTCTCTGGTGAGAAGGAAGCAAGAAACAAAAAAAAAGAGCAGCCACTCTGAGTTAGGTGCTTGATGAGGGCTGGGCAATTTGCAATGTACAGTTTTGCTTAATCTTTAAGGCAACTGTGCGGAGGTGTCAGTGTCCCCATTTCACACGTGCCAAAGCCAGACCCAGCAGTTTGTCAATGTGTTACCTAAACAGTGAATGGCAAAGTTGAATTTCAACCCAGGACATTCTGACTCCCAAGCCTGTGTACTTTCCTTGTGTCACAAGCTGCAATTTAAAACTGATGCTAAATAGTCCCTCTGGTCTTAGTAAAGCAAAAGCTCTAAGTGATTGGGCTGGGGGTAGAGATTCAGGCATCTTTTCAGAGAAGAGGCTCCTTAATCACTGGTTCTGTTGGTTGGAGTGACTCAGGTCCTGTGTTTTCAAGGCTGCCACTGGCTATGAACCAGAGGTGGGTGCTCAGTTAGGCTGTGACCGTGGTAGCCACAGGGCATGGCACCATTTCTTGCCATGATGTACATCCCAAATGAAGTGGGGTAGGACTCTTTGAGGTTCTCTTTCTGTGTGAACAGTTCTGGGGTGTCCCTCCCACCCCAACCCAGGCCACAACAGTTAGGGACTACACAAGCAGAGCAGAAGCCAAACCACGATCCAGAATGGGTCAAGTGACAAGCCACCAAGTTAAGGTGAAGGAACGAGAGCCCAGGTGTGGCTAGGGCAGGCCTGGGAGTTGGGGTGAGAAGATGACAGTGAAATGTCACTTCAAAGTTGCAGGATTTCAGTAAGCTGTCCCCTCTGGCTTATGGTGTTGCCCTTTCTTCAAATACCCGTGATAGAGGCATCAATCTTAGAGAAGGTCATTAAAAAAAGTGAGCTCATTAAAAAACAACCTTCCCCGAAATGGTTTGTGGGTAGGAGATGATGTACAGAAGAGTGAGGGACAGGGTGGCTATAGGCAGTTCTGGAATAACCACTCTGTGCATCTCTATTTCTTGTGATACTTGCATCACTCAGACATCTGGAGTATCGTGCCCAGAGCCAGACAGTTCATGTAGGTGGGACTCAAACTCAAGTCTTTGGCTGGAAACACTGTGGCTCTTTCCTACAACTGGGAAATATGATGGTATTTGTAGCAGATAGATTCTGAGGTGGTCTGCCTTGAATTTGGCATGACCGTCGTGAATACAGAGAGAGCTCTTCACCTGTTACACTTGAGTCCATTCCCCAGAGGAAAGACTAACGCTCCCAAGAGGCTTAAGAAGCAATCTCCCATTTCTTTTTCCATTCCTTCCCTCCTCAGGGATATCTATGGTTAATTCCTCCAATTGTGAGTCAGAGGGCTGATGGGCAGCTCAGGAAGTCTGAAAAGAATGCCTAGTAATTTTTGTACGAAAATCAGTAATAATCCTTGTGCATAAGTAATCTTCATGCCTCTACTTCCCAAGGGTCCTTGTCTCCAATCAGCATGTTCACCCTGCTTGAATTCCTGCCTGGTGAGTGGTGCTATTGATGTATATGGCTGGCACATTGACACCACACACCTGCTGTGGAGAGTACGTGCCTAGTTCCACTTTCTACCTAGTACAAAGAAAGTCTCCTTTTATCTGGCAACTCTGGGTGAAAAAAAAGGGCCACTTATGCCATTTTTATTGCATTCAAATGATGTATCTGGCACTGGTCTAGATGCTGGTGCTATAAAGTTAAATAAGACATGATCCTTGTCTTGAAGAAGTTCATAGCCTAATAAAGCTCATTTCCAGTTAAATTTGGGAACTTCTGCTCTTTAGGGCTAGTCTAACAGCAAATAAGAGATTTACTCTGGAATACACGTCTTGAAGGTTGGGAAGGGTTTGAGAAGAAATAGGAAAAGATAGAGCTGAGGTTAAAACTGAAGGGAAAAATTGAAGATGGATAGTAAGTTGCCACTCACAGTGTGTAGAACACAATGGACACAAGCATGGATGAGAGAGTGGCCAGGTTGTGTAGAAGGGTAAGCCAGCCTGGCATTTCTCTCTTGGCTGAAGGAGTTCCACATTGAGGCAGAATATAAACAATGAACTTGGTACTATAGGACAATGGTAGAAAATCCTAAAGACCACGGCAAGGAGTTTGGATGTAGCGAACAGACAGTGAAGAGCTGGTAAAAAACCACCTGCTGATGCAAACACTGTAATATCAACAGATTGTGAATACCTATGATTTAAACAGTGCCAGAGGAAAAGATTTTTTTCAAATCAACATTGACCCTGATGGGGGGATAATACAACTAGAAGATCAGTCTTTGGATTTGGAAATCTGTGGACTAATCAATCAAAGAGTAGCAGTAGCCACAGAGGATACAGCCTAATCCAAGACTAGTTCAGAGAAAACAATGGGCTAGGCTCAGTGAGTGGATATTGGAGAGGAGAAGAAGGAAAGAAGACCAAAAGGATGCTGGGATCCCTAGAACTAAAGAGAACTTTAAGGCTTAGCTACCTGTGTGGGTGGAATTATGGTGCAGCTGGTTTGTCAACAAGGTTTAGATCTTGTAAATTGTCCATCCAAGTGAGAACATTTTTTAGAGATGTTAAACTATAAATCAAGACACACTGGGTCTCAGAAAAGATGTACTCTTCTGAGAGTACAGGAAGACAGGGGAATAATCTGGAAAACATCATTTAGATGTTAAAACTATTAGAAATTTCAAGGTATTATAATGGTTTTATGGGTACACTAGGGTTAACCTGGTAGAACTTTAGGT